AATCCGTTCAACGATTACAAAAGAACTAGTTATCATTATTTTAACAATAAAACTAAAAGACAAAACAAAAAACAATAAAAGATTTGCAATGACTTTTCCATCAATAAACCATTGTTTAAAAAAAAACACTAAATGTGAAATTACCATTATCAAGTTAGAAATATGGTCTTCCACCTCGGGGACTTTTCTTTATTTGATAACTTATAGGTAAAAACCATCGATCACTATCAAAAAAACTAAGACCACTAAAATTAATCCTTTCGCTACGAGGACACAAACAGATACACTTTAAACTTAAAACACCTTAAAAATAAAGGATGGTAATTAAGATCAATTTTATTAAAGAAAATACCTCATACATGATCCTAATCGATGTATAAAAATCGAGAATGCGTATCGATACGGTACGATTGTATCAACTCGAAATTGTTTATTGATATTGGACACGGTTTCGCTTGCATTCAAAGTGTGAAGAAATTACGCTATTTCTGTATCTATCTTTTGATATAGACCGTTTTATTAAAAATGTGTTATGAACATAACAATAACATTTTATTATTGTAAAATTTTCTTTTTTCTTGGATTTCGAACCAAAAAGTAGATTCTTAGATTCTGACCATATTGGCTTTTTTGTATCCTGATTAATGATGCATATATTTATATATATAATTCTTCTGTGAGTGTGTATGTCACTGAACTTCTCTCAAACGACTGGACCGATTTTGATGAAATTTTTTGTGTGTGTTCAAGGGGATCTGGGAATGGTTTAGATTCACAATTTTGTCCGCTGGACAATGTTTTTTTAATTTTTAATTTATTAGTAGTTGTTGATTTTGGAATGTTTTACATTGGATCCGACAGACGGCGCTACCATCGCAGTGTCAAATTTGACAGGACAACGTCTGTCGGGTCCGCTAGTGCAGGTATAAAATGAGTATAACAATATTTTTTCCGATCACCAAAAAATAAAATAGTGTTTTAATTTTCGCTGTGATAAAGAAATTTATAGTTTTTACTAGGAATTTTTAAGTTTTTTCTACCCCATAGGACCCTTCCTTGTGGCTTAACCAAAATATGAAAAAAAAAACTCGAGTTCTGCGGATTCATTTATACAAGATATCTACATTAAGGCAAGTGAATGCGCCGACAAAGTTTATACTGTGCCAGCAATTTTAAAAATATTACCTACTACCTACGGAATATACCGCTATTACACCGCTTTCTCTAAGGTTTTATTCCTAAGCTGGTCGGTTGTTTTATGTGTACCCACCCAAGATCGTTGTGCAGCACGGATGTCCTACTTACTTAAACAAAACATAGAACTTCCCACAAAGTTAAAAGGAAGACCGCCATGTGGTGTCGATCATCATTCATTTTTTACGTAGACGCGTCACAACTCACAACAGGGAGCTTTCAGATATTTTACCTACCAGACATGGCAGTTGGTCAGTTTCAGTTTTTTTATTTAAAAAAATACTACTGTATATCACGGGACCCACGCAATAAACTTGTTAACCCCTCTAACTAATCCAGTTAGCAATGGACTCATGAAAGGCGTACTTTCAACCCGCAACAGTTTTATCACAAGTCTGAAGTCTCAGTAAAAACGCTATCGGAATCATTGTAATTAACTCTCCTAGTATGAGTTCCATTAGTTGATTATAATATGTTATAAGTTACATCCTTATTACAACCTGGAATATTAATACAAATAAACTGACTACACAATTTAAAAGCTTGTTACTTAAATAACACTTTTATGTGTGGTTGGCCCTGTTTTTTTTTTTTTTTTCCGTCCGGAAATCCCCTCGGATACCACCTGTCTTAGGTTATCTCGGGTAAACCACTCTCTTAAAAAGTAAGAGGCCCTTGCACAGAGTAGCAATAGGTCTATCTATCTAAACATCATAAATTAGCAGCATTTGCGTACTTTTTTAATATATACGTTAATGTTGCCAGTTGTAAAATTTTTTAACTTCAAACATTATGAATTTGCTGATAGTTTAAAGAAATACTAACAATATTCTAATTTATCTAATTTATTTTCTTAGTTACTATTTATTTAAAGTTAAACGAAGCCGAACAAAGAAGTGACACGTAAAAGAATTAAAACACTTTCGATTAGTCTATTTTTAAATGCACCTGCAGGGAAAGTCAACTTTTTGTGTATATTAGAAAAACATTACAGAACATCTGTTTCGAACGGATACACTTTTTGTGTTCACCGCAACCTAATGCTACTGATTTCCGTTTTAAATAGGTCAATAAGTCACTAACGGTTCTAAGATTTCTACAGATGAAGGAACATTGACAAATGTGAATTTTAACTCGAACTAAGTACAAATATGAAATTTAAAAACAACAAGTTATTTTGTTAGTTTGTTTCTTTCTTTTTCTTTTTTAGGTTTATATGGCTTATTTTACAAACATAGCTAACTTACTAAGATAAATCTCTTTTCTTTATCAAAATAAAACGCCGCATCAATCAAGTAAAAAAAATAATAGTGTCAATTATTATTACCCAATAAATTATACTGAAAATCAAGTGGTGGTCAAACATTAAATATTTTATTTTATATGAATCACAAAAAAAATTGTAATGTCATTGACTTTCCCTATCGTGAAATCGCATATACTTATTGTATACTGAACCTCTGTAGCCTATTGTAGTAATTTTAAAATAATTTTGCAAATTAACACAAATTTCTTTAAAAAAAACTACATCTGTGAGTTTATTCTATATATAATGTATTAACTTTAAATATTTTAATTAACACATCCCCCGTCGTAAAATATTGTTTAAAAAATAATTCTCTCCTTAAGAAAATTATAAAATGCTACGAAATATTTGAAACTTAACGTTCGATAAATATAAATTACAAAAAAAAGATAAGTCATGTTAAATAAGAGCGCATATCATCTTTCTTATGACAACGTCAAGTAGATACAAAGTCATTGTTATGAAAAAAAATTTGCTTAATCAAAGAATAATGTCTAAAGACTTAATTGTTCACATAAAGCAGACGGAAATTTAACGCGGCAAACACAATTTTCCGTAACAAAATTCACGCGCACCGGAAAGTGTTTCGATTATTTCCCGCCATCCGGCGTCTCGACCAACCGAAAATTGGCGCCTAAAATTCTCCAAGCCAATAAGACAAATGGCCGCCATTTTTAACCAATCAGCGTTGAGCCCGCGCTCTCGCCATCGCGTCATTGTCATATCTCGAAAATTAGTACGGCAGCAGTGCAGTGAATGAATCCCGTCCGCAAATCGAAGATTTACCGTGAAATAATAAAATTATTTCTCTAAGGTGAGTACATAGACGTAATTTTAGCGAGATGACATGATTTAAAAAAATATATTCGTTATGTCATTCTATTTTTAATGATCCGTCAAAATTATTTACAATTTATTGCCATTATTCAGTTGTGAAAGCGAATATTACTAATCAATATTTTATTAATGTTATATGTAAACTTACAATTTAACCGGTTTAGTTCTAATTTACGACTAACTGAATAATAAACTAATTTTAATAAATTCGTCTAACTATATGCATCATACCAACAGTCCAACACAAAAATCTAGTCAGTCTTGTTTCGGCAAAATGGCGGCGATGTTCTGTGCTATTAATACATTTTCCGTCCTTTTTCACTGGAGAACTGCTTCATATACGTGTGACAGAGACGACTATATTTTTGATAAGATGTATGAAATTGTGTCGCTGCATGCGTAGGTAACTATACACGTCTTCGTTCTTCGTAAACGAGGCAGTTTGCAGTGTTGCCGTAAACAAACGTTTAGATTGCTAATATTTTAGGGAAATTCAGTAAAATTTGAAAATGATAACCAGAAAGAAAATAAAATTGAATTCATCTTTTTATTATGCTAGGCTTAGAACATGTAGACATTTGATTAACAAAACAATAGAAATGAAACATAATAAGATTTGTAACTAATTTTGAAAAGGAGGAGTTCTATATTTTTTTTGTTTTGTAAATTAAAAAAGAATTTTTCAAATCGGTTTATAAATGACAGAGTACTGTCATTTATAAACCGATTTAATTATTATTTTTTATTGAAGAGCGGTAGGTATATTCTTTCTTTTACTATTCCCTGTTTGATCCTATTTAAAAATGTAGAAAAAAATGAAAATTCATCCAGAATTTATTATAATTTTTCACGATATAGGCATATTAAAGTCGGTAACACTTTCTTAAAGTCAGTTATTTAAAACAACGCTTATAACTTAGTTGTTATTGTGACACGGTAATAATCATAAGGTAACATATACCTACAATTTCCATTGGTATTTTTTTTTAGTTTTAATCTCTATTAGTAAATAACTACATATGACTAAAGTCTAGTTTGTAAACAGTTTGTTTTTAGTGCGAATTTATTTATGTATAAAATGTAGATTTTCTATTTAACACATTTAAAATGACCTTCGTCTCCTTGAAAATCGGTTTTATTTAACTTTTGTTTGAAACGCTTAACTTATCAGACACAATAAAAATGAAGTGGAAAAATAAAGTAGGGAAACGCGTGTAATATAGAACTATCACACCACTTTTAAGCATAAAGCAACACTAACGCCACGCAGTGGTGAAGAGTGGAAACGTGCGTCGCTTGCGCCGCGGTTGCGTAGCTTTGCCGTCGCGTTGCGCCACGCTGTCGATTACCGCTTCGTCGCTGCTCTGCCCGGAGTGCTCGGTCGCGCCGCAGTCGGCGTACGTACTTCTGTCGTGTGGACGTATTGCGTCACTGTTGATCGCTCGCGTTATTCACGACTTGTTTACTCACAATAACTAACAATACAAATTCATATTGGTGCGTGATGAACCTAACACTTATTACTTTCTTGTTAAATCAATACAAGTCTGTCGCGTACTGTTACTAAATACTGACCTTGTTTGCGTTAGGTGGATACGCCGCGGATGCTATCTGTAAAGTGCATTGCTGTGTTTCGCTGTTACGGACTCTGTTGAAGTGAAGAATGTCGACGTTGAGTGTAAGGGCGCCCGGCCTGCAATCCACCACAGTGCTAGACACCAGAGCACTGCGGTTACGCGGTGTGACCGCGCTGGAAGGCGTTAGAAGGAACTTATTTGGGTGTACAGATAGAGAAGAGAATAGAAGGTTTGTTGAGAGGGAGTTGGCACGGCAGCTGGAGCTAGATAGCCAGAGATGGGGATTTGACTTTGCCAATGAAAAACCATTATCTACGTCGCAGAGATTTGCTTGGCAACTAGTTCCCGCGTCTGCTGTGCCTGCAGCTTTGCGAAGGTCGCCAATTACGATTACGCACACTCCCAAACCAAATACTTCATCACAGGAAGCGAAAGTTTCAAGTCCTGAGAGCAGCAAATCGCAAAAGAGAATAACAGGTTAGTGAAATCCGCAACAAATTTAACTCAGTGTATTGTTGACATTTGTTATTTTGAGGTTATAATTTTCGTTCATTTTCACGTTACGTAAACAATGCGTAGTACTTTGCGAAATGTCATTGATCGATTACTCATTCAATAATATGTAAGTGTTCCGATTTACGTAAGGGCTGACCTTTCTACTTATAATAAATTCTCAATTAATATTTAGCAAGGTAAGTAAAAGTCTGTAACAAAAAACGTTATCACAAATTATGTAAATACGAACTTTTTGAGCCGTATCAGTACTTAATTGTTTACATTTACTATTTATAGTCTATTTATAGTGTAAACACTGCGTAATCGGTGCAATTGCAGTTCGCAGTGATTCGTTAACAATGATCATATATTATGTGTAACTTATCTCTGGCTATGACGCAATGATAACACGTTTAGCTCACTTGCTAATTATATGCTAATAACACATTTGTTGCTAAGTGCACCTGAAATAGGTATTTCCACCTCAGTTTGCAGTGACGCTGCCGTAGTAATTTTGTTAATAAATAACTTACAACCTATAAAAAATATTCCTACTTAGAATACAAAACTTAAAAAACATAGGCATATTTAATAGGAGACAAAGTTACTAGAAGTAGATATTTGGTTAATACGACAACCAATTATTCATAGAGTATAAAATGCCAACATACCACAAAACAAACAAAAACGATTCACAATATACATTAAAAACTTCATTGTATGTGTTTATAAATAGGTATAATATCAAAAAGTCCACTTGATCGGGAACATGCGTAGATGGCTTTGCTAATACATACTAACACTACAGTAGCAAGCTGTTCCTATATTAAAACGTAAATCGCCTGAAAACATCACATAGATACTTTTGCATGACTATTGTTTTTTAAGGTAAAGCGCCTTTTGCTTTTATTTAGCAATGCGTGTTATATAAATAGCGCGTTGTTGCCAGACTGCCTTAGAAATCAAATTTTGCTTTGACAACCCTATCTTAATTTGTATAAGTCGGTTGAAAAATAATGTCTCGTACCCTGTATCGTGTTCGTTGTGTCAGTAAATATGTATCACAATTTGCAACAGAACACTAATTGAGCGCCCGTAACACCTGGAACAAAATACTTATCATTTTACAGCCATAAAGACTTATAGCTGACTATACTTATTACCACCTACTTCGTTCGCATGTTGCTTCCAATACTATATATTTTAAAGTCAGTTATAAAACCTATAATAATAGCCTTTTTTAATTGTTATGTACAATAAGTTTAAAAACTAAATATAAAATTTTCAAATCTTAACACTTAAACACCTTTTAATGCACATACCCTTACAATAAGAACTCAAAGGAGCTCGACGACGAGGACGTGCAAAAAACACACACATAAAAGGTGTCAAGACCTTCATAAAAGACCACAAAGCTCTTATTAAATAATTTGTTGCTTCATAATTAAAAATTACGATTTCTTAGTTTGTTTTTAAACGGGAAGTGTTGATGAAAGGGACATGAAAAAATCGTTTGACTGCTTATTAAATTGTTTTTGCTACTTCTGTCAATGGAAACCGGAGACCATGTTTGGAAATTTGTTAAAAAAATAGCAAACAATAAATAAGCGTTATGCCTGAATATCAGGCACGTCTACTGACCTAGATCCATTTGTTTTGATACAGCTATGTATTCAAACGTAGTATGGCGAACCTCCCACACTTGTCCCATTTTAGATTACACATGTGGCTACAAATTGTAAACAATTCATTTTTAACGACACGAGATTATTTTCATATCAACAGTCAACATATTCGTTGACACTATTGTATTGTCTATTCCGAAATGTTTAATGAATGTTCAACAATATCAATGTATCCACTGCCTGAGAGTTAACTACAATAATTCAAGCATAGGTACACGATTTTTGTGTATAAATATACTGCAAATTATGTTCCTAACTACCTCACTCAACTAATAATTTCTTTAATACTATAGTTCTTTCTATACATTAAATATTGACCATTCAAATAACTTCCGATGTTTATCAATTTATACCGTAACTCGTTACCTTGTATTACGTCACTAGCTAGTGTGACAATAGTTGTTCTAACCTTCAGTGAAAGTTTGAAAAATGGGTCAACTTGTGTTGAACTGTTAATGAGTCACTTTGTTAGTGCAGCGGTTTTTAGTTGCCAAAAATTAATAAATAGGTAAATACTTTAAAAACACATGTATTGTAGATTAAAATCATTTTCACTTTTGCAAATTGTTGGTGAAGTACATGTATACTTTAACAAGAAAGCATGTTGGAATCGTAGAATGAGGTTTATTAACTATTACTGCATTATTCATGTACCCTTAATTGGATGTTTAACCTAATTATCTTTACCTTGAGTGTTTACTGTACTTTAATGTTTAATTAAAATATTACTTTTAAAAAATAAACCAACAGAATCTCATGATGAAAGTTTTAAACAGCGTAATGCCAGTTCCTCTAGCGTGTACAGCTATATTTCAAGTGAGGAAGGGAAAGTTTCTTGATGTCACGTTCAAGATTTTCTCGTTCATACCGAATGAGCGTAGCGACATGCAATCTCATAAAAATCAATTGTAGCTACGTTTGTAACTACGAGTATAAGCAAACGGTATCCTTGTCGCACCCACACGCGGAGATACCAGGTGACGCGCCCGCGCGACGCGTCACCTATCAACGCATGCGCACACACGCACACGCGCTGATTGCAAAATGGCCGCTTTTATGTGCGATCATAATGAACATCTCATTTTGCTGTATACTATAACAGCTAAAGTTTCAGTATTCATTTCTGATGTCTTATTCATTGAATATGAATCGTGAAATATAAGAATTAATTCGCCAAAAAAAATTTGTTAAATAAAGAGCGCCTCCAAACTGCCAATCACAATAGATACAATAAATATTGGAAATTGTGTTACAAATAATCAAACTACTCGGAAAGTGTAACTGTAAAGAAGAACACGTATTACAAAATAAATCCATTGTGTGCCGTACGTAGTCAATTCTTCCCCAAACAACAATACAAACGACCTTTACACAAAAACTTCTAAGTAGGCAATCCACCTAAATATTTTTATTTGTGCAGTAGCCACCTTAACAATGTACCTGTTAACTCAGCAATCGTTCTTATTCAAAGTGTCTTACAAAAAACTACTCATCCTATTTCTTGAACAATACCAAGAAATCTTTAATAAACTTATTCAAAGGTTTTTTGTGCAAAGCATGAACCTTAATGTAAATTCATATGCATAGACTTCTATTTCTTTAATAATAATCAGATTCAAAAATATCAGGTTAATATTTACCCCTAGGCATCCCGGGTCGAATATTGGACGATTTTAATAAACATGACCCGTTAAGTGCGTTAAGATTACAACAGATGTACATCTAAGGGTTTTCTAAGAGTTCTCAAACGTTCAATTCGTCAAAATTTCTTTGTCTGAAACTGACCAACCGTACACACTTTGTAGGGGTCCGAAGTGACTGGGTCACCCAATTTCTTACTTCCCTTTAGTAATTACAACTTTGGTGTCGTTGAACTCTGATATGTTTTCGTTTATGGGAAAATAAGTGGACTAGCTGCAGGGTACCGAATAATTGTATACTTCGCCATTTGATAGAAATAGTTGCAACTGTATGGGGTTTAAACAAGGCTGCATCCGGTCAAGACTTCGTGGTGCATTTTATTAGAAATACTCATACCAGCGGGATTTCCGTTACAAATATACCCTAATCTTGCCATATTAAATCTTACACTTTTAATAATTTAATTTTCTACCTGTAATATTTAATGTTGTTTCTATTATTATTTATTACTACTATTTACTCGGCTTTGTGTTATTCACCTATTATGACTTATAATGAATGCAATAACTAAGTAAACAAATACCAATGATATTCCTCATTTAATATCAAACAATACTTCAAAATTTAAAGTCCATAAACTTTATAGAGAAAATTCAATTAATGAGTACCAATAAATCACAGTGTCACCCCTGCAAGCGACACAGAATAAATCTGCATTGTGTTATGACTGTCACAATGGCGGTGCAATAACGTCGGCGCGTGCGCACCGCAATGCGCAGCCCCTTTGTGCACAGCGTGCACCCTCGCGGACACTGACTCTGTAACGGTCATATTGATTTTTTAACTGTCACTTTCCCTCAACTCTTGAATTATTAATTCAACATTGACGCGTTTCACAAATTTATTTTATATGTAGTTATGTTCAGATATTAGATTTCGACATGTTCACAATGATTTACTTAATAAAGAAGCTTAGTAACTCCTAAACGGATAAGCCGTAACGTCATCAGTTTTTTTTCTTGTCGTCTATTAACTATTCCTATTTTAAATATTCAACGTTATCTAATTTGTATTGCTCCAAAAACGTTAAAAAAAGAACAAAATTTCGGAACTGAAGCCTTTGCGAAATTGTAACGTATGCGGGCGATAAAAAACTTGTCAACACACGTGTTCGAAGTTTTAATTTAACAGATAGGGAGAATAACGGTCGTTTCGATAGTTCACGGCATCTGCTTTTCAACCCCCGCGTTTACACCCCCTTAACAACGCAATAGCTTTAACTCTGGGGTCAAATGACCAGGTCAAAATTTTGTTTCATTTTCCAATCAACATTATATTAAGATACTTCTGGCTTCATAATACTGGCGTATGTTAAACATACATATTATTACATATATTATTTGTCATGCCATGTCGTGTGGGACTTTGATGTTAAGATTGGTGACAAAATCCCATTAAAAATAAAAACTTGCAGTTGTATAATCTTGCGCACTTGACCATTACAACAGGTCGCACTCATTCTCGCACTTGCTAATGCAGAATTGTAATTGGTCAAGTCACCGACACGAGACTAATGTACGTTATAGTTCTCACGAGCATGGCCATGCTCACCTCGACCCTAAGGAAACGCCATGTAGGATATGGTTCAATGCACGT